AGGTATCTATGGGAGGTTGAGTGTTTCAGGCNAGGTTGATTGTGTCAGTCTAGATATCTATGGGATGTGTTTTCGGCCAGGTATATATGGGAGATTTACTGTTTCAGGCCAGGTATCTATGGGAGGTTGAGTATTTCAAGCTAGGTATCTATGGGAGGTTGAGTGTTTCAGGCCATGTATCTTTGGGAGATTGAGTATTTCAAGCTTGGTATCTATGGAAGGTTGAGTGTTTCAAGCTAGGTATATATGGGAATTTGAGAGTTTAAGGACAGGTATCTATGGCAGGTTGAGTGTTTCAGGCTAGGTATCTATGGGAGGTTGAGTTTTCAGGCTAGGTATCTATGGGAGGTATAGTGTTTCCTGCCAGGTATCTATGGGAGGTGTTACAGGCCCGGTATCAATGGGAGGTTGAGTGTTTCAGGCTAGGTATGTATTGATTGTTAGGTTGAGTGTCTCGGGCTAGGTATCTATGGGAGGTTGAGTGTTTCAGGCCAGGTATCTAAGGGAGGTTGAGTGTTTTAGCGTAGGTATCTATGGGAGGTTGAGAGTTTCAGGCCAGGTATCTATGGGAGGTTGAGTGTTTCAGGCTAGGTATATATGGGAGGTTGAGTTTTTAGCTCACCTGGCACGAAGTTGCGGCATCCGTCGTCCTTCCGTCTGTCCGTCCTCCGGCGTCAATATTTTACTTTAAACGACTTCTTCTTAATAACCGAAAGGCCTAGGGTGATGATATTTGGCCAGAAGCAAACTGGGATGAAGGGCTACCAAGTTTGTTCAAATAAATGACCTTCATCTATTTTCAAGGTCACAGGGGTCAAATATGTTAAAAACTTTAAACAACTTCTTCTGAATAACCAAAATGCCCAGGGTGATGATATTTGGCCAGTAGCATGCTGAGATGAAGGGCTACAAAGTTTGTTCAAATGAATGACCTTCACCCATATTCAAGGTCACAGGGGTCAAATATGTTAAAAACTTTAAACAACTTCTTCTGAATAACCAAAATGCCCAGGGTGATGATTTTTGGCCAGTAGCATGCTGAGATAAAGGGCTACGAAGTTTGTTGAAATGAATGACCTTCACCCATATTCAAGGTCACAGGGGTCAAATATGTAAAAACTGTAAACAACTTCTTCTGAATAACCAAAATGCCCTGGGTGATGATATTTAGTCAGTAGCATACTAGGATCAAGGGCTACCAAGTTTGTTTAAATGTATGACCTTGAATCATATTCAAGGTCACAAGGAGCAAATATGTTTAAAATATTTCAACAACTTGTTCTGAATAACCAAAAGGCTCAGGATGTTGATATTTAGTTAGTAGCATATGCTGGGATCAAGGACTACTATGTTTGTTAAAGTGAATGACTTTGACTTATATTCAAGGTCACAGGGGTCAAATTTGTTTAAAATCTTTAAACAACCTCTTATGAATAACCATGGGTCCCAGGATGTTTATACTTTGCAAGTTGCATCCTGAGATTGAAAGGCTATACAATGTGTTCAACATAATGACTTTGTTCGACTTTCAATCACAGGGGTGAAATGTTTAAACAGGGTCTTTTGAACGAATTTTAATTATAAATACTGATATTTTGCTGTAGCTTTATTTTAGAACACTTTTAAGGTTACAAGTGTGAGTTTTATACCAGGTGAGCGATGCAGGCCCATTGGGCCTCTTGTTCAGGCTAGGTATCTATGGGAGGTTGAGAATTTGAGGCAAGGTATCTATTTAAGGTTGATTGTTTCAGGTTAGGTATCTATGGGAAGTCAAGTATCACTGGTGTTTCAGGCTGTGTATCTATGTAAGGTCAAGTATCTCTGGTGTTTCAGGCTGTGTATCTATGTGAGGTCAAGTATCACTGGCGTTTCAGGCTGTGTTTCTTTGTGAGGTCAAGTATCACTGGTGTTTCAGGCTGTGTATCTATGTGAGGTCAAGTATCACTGGTGTTTCAGGCTGTTTACCTATGTGAGGTCAAGTATCACTGGTGTTTCAGGCTGTGTATCTATTTGAGAGTTTCAGGCCAGGTATCTATGGGAGGTCAAATATCACTGGTGTTTCAGGCTGTTTTCCTATGTGAGGTCAAGTACCACTGGTGTTTCAGGTTGTTTACCTATGTGAGGTCAAGTATCCCTGGCGTTTCAGGCTGTGTATCTTAGGGCGGTCAAGTATCACAGGTTTTTCAGGCTGTTATATGGGAGGGCAAGTATCACTGGTGTTTCAGGCTGTTTATCTATGTGAGGTCAAGTATCACTAGTATTTCAGGCTGTGTATCTTAGTGCGGTCAAGTATCACAGGTGTTTCAGGCTGTTATATGGGAGGTCAAGTATCACTGGTGTTTTAGGCTGTTTATCTATGGGAAGTCAAGTATCACTGGTGTTTCAGGCTGTTTATGTAAGGGAGGTTATGAATGAATGGTGTCTTCAGTAGGGTTTGCTATGAATTCTTTTACTATTCGTTTGCCAGAGAATTTGAAGAGAATCTGTAATTACTTGTACAAATAAAATAAAAGAATTTGTAAACAATGTTATATTGAGGACAAATGTAATGATTTAAAATGTTTCACCTCAGGGTTGCCTGAATAGGCATTTATTATTAGCTCACCTGGTCCGAAGGACCAAGGTGAGCTTATGCCATTCCGTGGTGTCCGTCGTCCGTCCGTCCGTACGTCAACAATTTCTTTAAACGACTTCTTCTTCTTAACCACTGGTTGGAATTAAACTAAATTCGACTGGAAGCATCCCTGGGTGGTGGGGATTCAAAATTGTACAAATGGTGGGGCTGACCCCCCAGGGGACTGAGGGGCGGGGCCAAAAGGGGTCAATTTGCCCATATTGCTTTAGGCGACTTCTTCTCTGAAACTAAGGAGTGGATATCAACCATATTTGACTGGAAGCATCCCTAGGTGGTGGTGATTAAAAATTGTACAAATGGTGGGGCTGACTCCCCAGGGGGCTTAGGGGCGGGGCCAAAAGGGGGCAATTTGGCTATATTGCTACAAACGACTTCTTTTGTAGAACTGTAAACTATATATCAATCATATTTGATCAAAAGCATTCCTGGGAGGCAGGGATTTTAAATTGTACAAATGGTGTGGCTGACCCCCCAGAAGGCTGAGGGGCAGGGCCCAATAGGGTATTTGGCTATACTGCTTTAAGCGACTTCTTCTCTGGAACTAAGAAGTGGATATCAACCATATTTGACTGGAAGCATCCCTAGGTGATGTCTGTCCGTCTGTCTGTCTGTCTGTCCGTCCGTCCACAAATTCTGTTCCTGGCTGATAACTTTGGTATTTATTGACCGATGTACATGAAACTTGGTCAAGATGTTCAGTTCACAAAAATACAGATTGAGTTAAAAACAATCAAGGTCAAAGGTCAAGGTCATTATGTTCAAAGGTCAAGGTCAAATTTTACATCTTTTCACTGATGAACATTTTGTTATGACATGATGAAGCAAAGTTGATCAGAATTAAACGAGGAGTCAACAGACCAAAGGTCAAGGTCATTGGGTCAAAGGGCAAGGTTAAATTTTGTATCTTCTCACTGGTGAACATTTGCTATGACAATTTGAAGCAATGTAGCTCAGAATTAAACAAGGAGTCAATTGACCAAAGGTCAAGGTCACTGGGTCAAAGGTCAAGGTTAAATATTGTACCTTTTCCCTGATGAACATTTTGTTATGACATGAAGCAATGTTGATCAGAACAACACAGAGTCAACTGACATTAGGTCAAGGTTACAGGGTCCAAAGGGTCAAGGTCAAGTTTTGTATTTTTCACTGATGAACATTTTGTTATGACATTATGAAGCAAAGTTGTTCGGAATCAAACAAAGAGACACACTGAGGTAAAAAGTTCAGGTCAAAGGTCAGTCATTAGATTCAAAGGTCAAGGTCAAATTTGCATCTTTTCACTGATAAACATTTTGTTATGACATGATGAAGCAAAGTTGATCAGNTTCTTACTTTGACCCTGGCTCTTGATGGAGGAGGTATTTAAGGTGAAATAAAACAAATCAAAGCTAACAAATGAGTATTGCACCGGTATTTACATTTCTGTTAGCCCAGCAAATATGGAGGTGGAAGGAAACAAGACTCACATCATAGTACATGTAAAATGTATATTTTGCTTCCTTGCGATTCTTTTTGAAGTCCAAATGTCAAACGTCAAGCTCAGCTTTATGGGCAGATTGCTTCTTGATGATTATGGGGGATATATTGCCACAAGACGGGGCCCTTACTGACCTGTCAGTGTTCTAGTTCTTCTGTAGGAATGAAAGGATTTGTTTCATATTTGGTCTGAAGCATCCTTGGGTGAAGAGGAACCAATTTTGTATAAACAGTGGTTGTGCCTCCCCTTGGACCTGAGGGGCGGGCCCAATAGGGGAAATAAAGGTAAAACTATAAAAATCCTTCTTCGACCATCGGGATTAAGGGATTTTATCCTAATTTGGTCTGGAGAATCTTGGGCAAAAGGGACTCATTTTTTTATTAACAGTGAGTGTGGCCCCCCTGGGGGCAGATTGGCAGCCCATTAGGGAAAACATAGCAAATTCTTCAAAAACCTTCTTCTTCTGTACGAATGACAGGATTTTGTCCAAATTTGGTATTAAGCATCCTTGGGTCAAGGGGACTCAATTTTGTATAAGCAGTGGGTGTGGTCTCCCAGGGGGCAGAAGGGCGGGGCCCAATAGGAGAAATAGAGGTATAACCTTTAAACAGTGGGTATGACCCCCCTAGGGGCATAGGGGTGGGACTCTGTTTGAAGTTTGTTCTCGCTATATCTCAAGTACTGGATGGATGTTTCTGAAAATTCATATATGTACTTACAGCACCTACCATTGAGTGCTATATCTTTTAGTTCATACCAATTATTTTAAACACATTTAGGTGAGCGATACAGGCCCTCTGGGCCTCTTGTTTAATGTGCATGAGTTTAAGGTTAAAATCTTTAGTGTAATGCTGACCTGTGTTATTATCAGGGGATTATGTGTTGTAGATGACCCAGAGACTGGACATGTACGCCAATTCATTGACTGAGGCGATCAAGCCAGACTACCAGCCAGATGTGGTCAAGGAGAAGTAAAGGTCACCATCCTTGGTAGTGGTAGTTATTATTCCCTAATTAATGTTCAACATTTAGGGTAGTTTGAATTTTGCAACAACTGGTTACCCTTTGTCAGTATAATGTTACTGGATGGAATACTTTACTGGGTGCCTTCAGTGTGGTTTTTGAGTGAGGTAACATTCTGAAGTCGACATCAGATCAATGCTATCGCAAGGAGGCAAATACACCAGTATTCCTGCCACCAGCACACATACACACAAGCATGCAAACATTACACACAATTGGAGTCACATCCTTGTATACTGTTAAACCAAACCAAACCTATCCTGTTAAAGGTAGGATACTGACCAAACCTGTCTGACCAGTAGTTGTATTAAAGTTGACACTTTGTAAAGTAGGGAGCAAACTTAACTTGGTAGCTTAGTGCACTGGAGTTAATAAAAAAAAGTTCACTGGATTATTAAAATATTCATGTAACACAACCAGTAAGTGTTTCTATGTGACGTTTCGATAACTAGTACGGTATGTACACTGTCACTTTCATCAGACAAATGACCAGTGAAGTGTAAGCATAGTTGTTATATATATACCAAAATGACTTGATTCAGCTACACTTTGTTTAATACTTGGCCATATGTGTGCAAGAGTCTATAGGCCCCCTCATTTTGATTTACATCTGGTCCACTGCTGCATATCCAGATGGCTCCCTTTATCAACCCCTTGAACAGATTGCTCTCTCTGTCCAATACTTTGGAATTATCCCAGTCAATCACATGACTTTTCTGTGTGGCATGGTCTTAATTGCCGATTTATTTATCTGGGACTCTGACTGCTTCCTTTCTGTACGGGTGAATTTCTTTCCTTCTTGGGTTTCTGTATCTCTCCGGTGTTCACCAAGGGGGACCCAAATCGCCTTCCAGTCTCTCCAATATACGATGCACCACATTATTTGCATCCGATTTTGTATATGCATTCTGCGACGTTTTCTTTACATGATTTATCCTTAGGGTGTACTTGGATATTACTTAACGCAACGTCTTGTGGGGCTTCATGGCTGTTACTATGCCATGACCGCAATATATCCTCAGGATGGTTTTGGATATACCTTTTTATTCAAATCACCCTGCGTCCGTGGTCCGTCGTCCGTCCGTTGTCCGTCGTCCGTCGTCCGTCGTCCGTCCGTAAACAATTCTTGTTATTGCTATTTCTCAAAAAGCACTAGAGGGATCTTTCTCAAATTTTATATGTAGGTTCCCCTTGGTCCTTAGCTGTGCAGGGCAACTTTTGAGATTGATCGGATAAACAACATGGCCGACAGGTAGCCATCTTGGATTTTGATAGTGTGGGTTTGTTCCGCTATTTCTCCGGAAGAACTAGAGGGATCTTTCTTAAATTTTATATGTAGGTTGCCCTTGGTCCTAGCCGTGCAGGGCAACTTTTGAGACTGATCAGATAAACAACATGGCCGATCAGATAAACAACATGGCCGACAGGCAGCCATCTTGGATTTTGATTTTGAAAGTTTGTTATCGCTATTTCTCAAGAAGCACAAGAGGGATCTTTCTCAAATTTTATATGTAGGTTCCCCTTGGTCCTTAGCTGTGCAGGGCAACTTTTGAGACTGATCGGATAAACAACATGGCCGACAGGCAGCCATCTTGGATTTTGATAGTGAAAGTTTGTTATCGCTATTTCTCAAGAAGTACTAGAGGGATCTTTCTCAAATTTTATATGTAGGTTCCCCTTGGTCCTTAGCTGTGCAGGGCATTTTTTTGAGACTGATCGGATAAACAACATGGCCGACAGGCAGCCATCTTTGGTTTTGATATTGTAGGTTTGTTACCGCTATTTCTCCGGAAGAACTAGAGGGATCTTTCTTAAATTTTATATGTAGGTTCCCCTTGGTCCTAGCTGTGCAGGGCAATTTTAGAGACTGATCGGATAAACAACATGGCCGACAGGCAGCCATCTTGGATTTTGATAGTGAAAGTTTGTTATCGCTATTTCTCGGGAAGTACGGGAGGGATCTTTCTCAAATTTTAAATGTAGGTTCCCCTTGATCCCTCGTTGTGTATGTTATATTTTGAGACTGATCATAAAAACAAAATGGATTAAAAGAAGAACTAAACAGATCTTTCTCATATTGCAATGATCGATTCTATTTCTTTCACATTAAGTACTGTACTAGTAAATATGTGAAATGACAAACTCACTTTGAAGGTTGGCCTTCATACACATCAGTATTAAGTTTAGATCAAAAGTTACCTCAAGGTGCATTTACTGTTAGCATGACTCGATCAAACAGATTAGAGGAAAGAAGAGAAAAGATCAAACTGACAAAGAACTAATGAAGATGGTACAAAGGTGGGCGCCAAGATCCCTCTGGGATCTCTTGTATATATACAGGATGACCATTTGACTTTTAGTTTTGTTTTTCTCCTTGATTGGCCTTTTCTTGTTTCTGTACAAGAGAAGGCACTGTAGTCTAGTGGTTGGAAATCGGGCTCGTGACCGAAGGGTGGCAGGTTCGAGTCACGGCACGGCATTGTGTTGTATCTTTGAGCAAGATACTTTACTCCGGTTGTTGCAGTCTGCTCAGCTGTAAATGAGTATGTGGTTGGGCAGTGCTAGAATTGTAGAATGCTAGCTGTGAGCGCCAAAATGCCCGAACGGCAAGTGAGCTTATCTTATGGTGCGGCGTCCGTCGTCC